AAACTTAAAAGCTTTGTAGCATAGAACATTATCAGGAAAGTAGAAAAGTGATTAGAAACATATTTGCACATCACGTATTTGGTAGTGTTTAATGCCCACTGTATGCGAAGAACAACTGTAACTCAACAAAAGCATGACGTAGTGTAAAAGTGGCAAGGACCTAAATAGATATTTTTCAGAAAAAAAATCCGAATGGCCAATAAGCACACGAGTGGAAGTTTCAATGTTATTAGAGAAAAGTAAATCAAAACTACAGTGAGGTAGAACTTCACATCTATTAGGATGATCTGAACTCTACTCAACACCTCCCACATCAAATTAAGTTTCTTTTCACACCAACAACCTGTTGTGGATACTAATTAGGTATTACACAATTCATTTCTAAATGTTTTTAATTATTATTGTGTGGGGTGGTGTGTACCTCCCCCATGGTGTGCTTGTGGAGGTCCGAGAACAACTTTGTGGAGTTGGTTTTCTCCTTTCACTTTTATATGTATTTCAGAGATTGAAGTCAGATCATCAGGCTTGTGTGGCAAGTGTTTTACCTATTGAGCCATTTTGCTGAACCAGTTACATTTATTTCTGATACTACCTAGAATTAGTGCATCACCACAGACTAAGGGCTTAGTTTCACAAGAATCCTCAACTTCAGATGTCGATCACAAACCTAGACCACTCACACCTATACTGGCCAGCTATAAAGTCATGGAGTTTCTATAACCCCATCAAATCTGATTATTTGCTAAAATGACTCACTGAGTTAAGGGAAGCAGATTACTTATCATTAGTAGTTTATTATAAAGTACAGAACTCAGAAACAACCAAATGGAGGAAATGCATAGGGCAGTGTGGGGGAGGGGCATAGACCTCCCTTGGTTTCTCTGGGTGTGCTGCACTTCTAGCACCTCAGTGTTCACCAACCCAGAAACTCAGAACCCTGTAGTTTAGGGTTTTTTACGGACATTCCATCACACAGCCATGGTCAATTAAGTCATTGACTATTGGTGATTGAAGTCACCCCCCAGGCCTTCACCCTTTCCCTTTTCTGGAGGGCTGGCTCCAATCTTCTAAATTTATGGCTGGTTTCTCTCTTGACCAGGGTCTATTTTGAATCCATCAGGAGTCATAAGTACAGCCAGGAGTGGTGATGGTGCATGCTTTTAATCCTAGATCTTTTAGCTTACAGTTTCAGAGGTTTCAGTCTTGCATGGCCTGTTCTGTTGTTTCTGGTCCATGGTGAGGCAGAATGTCATAGAAGCTGGAGCTTATGGAAGGGGAGACGGTTCACCTATTGTAGGCAGAAAACAGAGAGAAGCCCTACACCAAATGCCATTCTGTTTCCCCCTTTTATTCCATCTGGGCCTCCAACTTAGGGGAAGATACCACCCATGTTCAGAGTATGCAAAGTGTCACACACACACACACACACACGCACACGCACACACACACACACACACACACACCTTAGTCAATCCTTTCTAGAAATGCCCTAAAAGACAAACCCAAAGATATGTTTTACTAGTCTCCTGGTCATCTCCGAGTCCAGTCAAGCTGGCAAGATTAATGACAGCAACCAGATAGAGATATGATAGATAGATGATAGATAGATAGATAGATAGATAGATAGATAGATAGATAGATAGATGATAAATGTCTATTTATAATGCCAATACTAGCTATTTTAAATATTACAGCTTTGTGGCAAATTTTGAAAAGGAAGTGTGAGCCGTATGTCTGTCTTCTTGCTTGACTATTCTGGGCTTCTTGCATTCCCTTAGGAATTTGAGTATTGGCTTCTCCATTGCTGAGAAAAGCTTTGTCACTCTTTATAATCGTTTCTAACATGCCATACCGTGAGATTTCTGTACATATCCATGATCAAAAGCTTAAGTTCCTTTTTTTTTGGAATGTGTGGGGGGGGATGAACATATGTGGGTGAACATATCTCTGTGTGTACATGTGTGTGTGGTGTGTGTGTGTGTGTGTGTGTGTGTGTGCAAACGTGGAGACTCAGAGTTGACCTGAATTGCACTCCACTTTGTTACTGAGGCACTGCCTTTCTCTGAACCCAGAACTTGCTGGTTTGGCTAGTCTAATTAGCCAGCTTGTCCCGGGAATCCATCTCTCTGTCCCTGATTCCCAAGAAATGTGACTGCAGGTGGCCGTCCTGCCCACCTGACCTTTTACATAGTGTCTGAGGATCTGAACTCTCGTCCTCACATTTGCATGGCAAGTGCTTTATCCTCTGAGCCATCTCCCCATCCCCTTAAGTTCTAATAATTCATTTTTTTAAATATTTTACTATTTTCATTTTATATGTATGTGTGTATTGCCTGCATGTATGTAAATGCACCTGTGTTTTGCAATGCCCACAAAGGCTAGAAGAGCACATCGGATCCCCTGGAGTTGGAGTTATGGATACTTGTTAGCTGCCATGTGGGTGCTGGGATTCAAACCCAAGTCTTCTGCAAAAATAGCCAGTGCTCTTAACTGCGGAACCATCTCTCTAGCCCCTAAGTTCTAATAATTCTTTACTTATCATCATCTTACAGTCTATTTAAAAAAGCAGCCATGAGAAACCAAATGAACAGGAACACAATGCTTTCTTAAGCTTTGTTCACTTATCCCCAATAAGAAAAACAAGCAACACACAAAAATAACTAAAGTTTATTTGTAGTTTCCCAAGTAATTTGTCATATCATTTTAGAAACATTTCTTTACAGTAAAGCTAAATTAATTGTAGGACACCTAAGCATTTTATTTAAGTATTCATTTCAATGTGAGGTGTTTGTATATAAAGCTAACTTGAGTAAAGTAAGATGGTATAGTTAGGAATTCTCATCAGTGTGGCACTCTGAACCATAATGGAAGGTCCTCTTTTCTGTGCCAAGTGCACTAACACTGGAGGAAAATATTGTCATTAAAAAACAAACAAACAAAAAAGCCCAAACCAAAAGAAAGCAAGCAAGCCCCAGGTGCTGGGGATGGAAAGGAGCCTAGCGTGAAAGCAGGGAGTGAGCTGAAAACAGTGAGGGCACGCACTGGCTGAGCGGGCCTCAGGGGCTGTGGAGTGAGGCTTTAGAGCCAGACTCGTGTGTGTGGAACAGGCATTAGGAACATTCCACTCTAAGAAAATCAGAAAGAGTGCTCATGGTATGTTTGAGTACCTATGAACAATGTCTAGGAGGACAGGGAACAATCAGGACTTGGGAGCCAAAGTGTATACCTTATAAGGAATGAGTTACACTCTGTACATTAAGGCAAGAGCTATTTTTTCAGTGCTAAGAAATAAATATTAAAAATTGTAGGGGCTTGGCATGTAGCTCAGTTGGTAGAGTGTTATCTAGCATACACAGAACCCTAGGTTCTGTCACTAGCATCACATAAACTAGGCATGGTGGCACACACCTGTAATCGCAGCACTGTAAACACTTCAGAAGATAGAATGGGATCAGATAGGACTGAGGCAGAATTTCAAAAGGAAATAGAACCGTGTGTGTGTGTGTGTGTGTGTGTGTCTGTGTGTGTGTCTGTGTGTGTGTCTGTGTGTCTGTGTACGTGTCTGTGTGTCTGTATGCATATGTGTACATTTACACATGCACATAAGCATTTTCCTTCAAAAAATTGAAATGAGGGGCTGGAGACATGGCTCAGAGGTTAAGAACACTGGCTGTTCTTGCAGAAGACCCGGGTTCAAATCCCAGCACCCACATGGCAGCTAACAACTGTCCATAACTCCAGTCCCAGGGGTTCCGACAGCCTCTTCTGTCCTCCGCGGACATTGCACAACACAGGTGTACCTACCTGCATGCAGGCAATACATGAGTACACATAAAATAAAAAATTAAAATTAAAAAAAGTTTAAAAAAAATTGAAGTGAATCTGACAAGATGTTAATTATGAATGACATAATGACAGGTATTGGTTATATTATTTCTATGAATGGTTTTTGTAATATTGAGTTATTTGTCTTGTTTCTGTGAAAAAATACCCATCAAGATGCAAACCTAAGGGAAGATGAGTTTGGGGCCTCACATTTCAAAGGTCCAGCCCACCTTGGCAGCAAAGTCATGTCAGCAGGGCTTGAGGCGGTTGGTCACACTGCATCCACCAGCAGGAAGCAGAGTGAGGAATACTGTTGCTCAGCTCACTTTCTCTTTTTCTTTTTACATTTGCGCATTTATTGTATGTATACACACACACACACACACACACACACACACACACACAGTATGCTCACATGCCATGGTAAGCATGTGGAAGTCAGAGGACAGCTGGGTCTTGAGGCTCGAACTTAGTTCTTCAGGTTCAGTGGCAAGTGACTTTACCAACTGAATCATCTCACTGGCCTCACTTTGCCTTTTATTCAGTTTAAGATCCCAGTCCATGGAATGCTGTTGCCCACATCCAGGGTGAGTCTTCCCACCTCAGTAACCTAATCTATGTAATTCTCAAAGCATGCCAGAGACTTCTTTTTTAGGTGATTCTAGATTTTACCGAGTTGACAGTATTAACCATTGTAGTGGACAACTATTGTAGTTTTCTACAATAGTTAGGGAAAATTATATCAGATTTTAAATCTTTAGTTTTTAAATCCTTTAGAGAAGTATTCAGTTATATTAATGTATTGTGACTACTTTAATTAGATAAAAGATGTTTGATTGGATTAGTTAGTTGTCAAACTGAGAGGGAAAGGGTATAGGAAAGGAATAAAATATAAAATTTCACATATGATAGCATATTTTTAGTTACTTAATTTAAATAATGTAAAATATTGTTGTGTTTTCAGAAAGGGAAAATCCAACAATTCAATACTGTGAAATCTCTAATAAGTGCACCTAAATCTTTTTTGAATTAGAAGTTCCAGTAAGGAACAGAAAATTGCTAAGCTGCCAGGAAGAGAGTAAAAGTTAAAACTTTTACCACGAGGCAACAAAACAAAGTACAAAATATATATGAAGTGTATCATTCTCATTTTTTGTTGTGTTTCCTTGGTTTAGCTGGTCATCTGACTTTTGAATGCCGCAATTTTCTCCGAGTAGACCCCAAAAGGGACATCGTGTTGGATGTCAGCAGTACAAGCAGTGAGGACAGTGATGAAGAGAATGAGGAACTAAACAAACTTCAGGCGCTACAGGACAAACGTAAGCAGTGCTTTTTTCTCCTTTGTTTAAAAATATTTGTATTTTTAACGTTGGGTGCAGTGGCATGCGGCTTTAATCCCAACCCTCGGGAGGCAGAGGTAGGTGGACAGGTGGATCTCTGCAAGATCAAGGCCACCTTGGTTCACATCATGACTTCCAGGTGGGCTATGACACTCTGTCAAAACAACAACAACAACAACAACAAAATTTGTATTTTTATATGTAATAAATACTTGCTGTGTTATGTCTTGCTCCTCATTAATGGTGCTCCTCATTAATGTCTTTCCTGTGTTATATAAGAATTCCTGCACAGTTAAGAGAGGCTTTAAGACTGAGTAATTTGCCTAAGATCAAACAGCGATCCATAATAAAACCAGGAGCCCAATCTTTTTCTGATTCCATAGTTGATATTTGCTTTTTCTTTGCTTCCCGTTACTCTAGTATGTGTCACATGGTATGAGACAAACAATGGGATTGTCAGGTCATACTGACAAATAGAGATTTTAGCCAATATCAAATTTATTAATGATTTTAAGAACACAAGGAATCCTAGACATAAGCAAGTGAGAGTTCTAAGACTGCCATTGCAACAACCCAACCATTTTCTTTCTGCATTTGAACCCACTCTTATCAAGATTGACATAAGAGGGGCTGGAGAAATAGCTCAGCAGTTAAGAGCACTTTCTGAGAACCTGAGTTCAGCTCCCAACACCCACATTATCAGATAGCTCACAATTGCCTGTAACTCTAGCTCAGTGGGATCCAACACCTCTTCTGACTTCCTTAGGGACGTGCTTGTGCGCATGCACGCGCATGCACACACACACACACACACAGACATACACACACACACACCCCTAAATAAAAATAATTTTTAAAAATCTTTATGTAGATCAGGCTGGCCTTGATCTGTCAGCCTCTGCCTCCAGAGTGCTGGGATTAAAGGCGTACACCACCATGCCCAGCTCAAGAGAAGTTTCTTTACTAAAAGAAAAAAAAACTTCAACTGGTTGCAAAAGAAACATCTCTCATTTCATGCCCCATCTCGTATATAAAAGTCTTATAGCTAGGAATAGTGGTATACCTTTAATCCCAGCACTTGGGAGACAGAGGCAGGTGGATCTCTGAGATCGAGGCCGTCCTGGTCTACATAGGGAGTTCCAGGCCAGCTAGAGCTACAAAAAGATGCAGTTTGAAAAAAAAAAGTCTTGTTACTGTTACTGAAGTGGGATAAAATATGATGTTGTATGGAAGTACACCCATGTCATACAGTGCCCTTGGAGACCAGAAGAGGATATTGGATCCCCTAGAACTGGAGTTACAGACAGTTGTTAGCCCCTGTATGGGTGCTGGGAATAGAACCTGGGTCTTCTGCAAGAGCAGCCAGTGTTCTTAAGCTGAATCATCTCTCCAGCTCCATAAAAAGAATTTTAAGCCTTTCATATTATTATAATTATGGTAAGAGACGTTAAACATAAGATGCCAAGGTTGGCTGTCTAAGATTCTTATTTGTCACTTGGCAAATACTGCTCTTAATACTGCTTTTGCTGAAACTCATTATATGCTGCATTTTCATTTTCATTTTTCTTACGTTCCTTTGACTCCTCTCTTCCTTCTTTGACACAAAGGGTTGAGTTAGGGTGTGTTGTTTGATGTATGAATTTTATAATTTTTCCCATTTTCCTTTTAATACTGATTTCCTATTTTATGCCAGCATAGTCAGAAAGGTACTCAATATGATTTCATTCTTAAATTTGTTAAGACATAATTTATGAGTTAGCATTTTCCTTCTGAATTTCATTTTTGGGGAAGATACTATATTGTCATTACCAGCTATGAAAGAAAAATCATCTTTGAGGCTCTTTCTTGGCTTTACTGCTTATTCCTGTTTCTGTTGTCTTCATCTATCTAACTGTAAACTAAAACACAGACAGACAGACAGACAGACAGACAGACAGACATATACACACACAGCCTATTAGTACATAGACTCATGGTCACTTGATTTTTCCCTCATCCTTCTTCCTTATAGGAATAAATGAAGAAGAGGAGAAGAAAAAAGAGAAAAGCAAAGAGAAAATCAAATTGAAAAAAAAGAGGAAAAGGTATTTTTAACAGCATATTTCTTTTTAAAAAGAAAACTGTAATATGTTAGTCCAGGAAGACTTATACATTTTATTTTTCAAGTATAATCCAGTTCATTTAATATTAGTGTTTTCTTAAAGAGAATAAAATGTTCATTTGTTTCAGTAAATAGCAAAGACTCCACACTAGGAGTCAGAATTAAGTTATTACTTAGCCACCTACACTTTCCCATTAGAACAAGTTAAGGTACTAGTGAGTAATGGCACTCTCTCCCCTTTTATGTATTCTATTTGTTTGTATTCTCGATTTTTAAGTTTTACAACAATAGCTAAACTTTTATTTGGACACATATCTCAACTCTTCATAGTTTGTGTTCATATAGATGCAATTGGATAAATATCTATCCTCACATCATTACCATAATTTAGATTAATTTATTAACGGAATTTAGTAGAATTCATTAAGGTAAAACTTCCTTCCAGTCTTTCACAACCCTCACCAGCAATTTTTTAGCAACTAACTAAAGAAATTGATCAAAAGTAGTAAAAGACAAATTCTTCACTGATGAAGTATTTTAGTTTGCTTCTCCACTGAGGTGGTTAAAAAAAAAAGGTGGGTGGGGGGGAGCTGGAGCGATGGCTCAGTGGTTAAGAACACTGGTTGTTTTTGCAGAAGACCCGGCTACAAATCCTAGCACCCACATGGCAGCTAACAACTGTCCGTAATGCCAGTCCCAGGGGATACGATGGCCTCTTCTGTCCTCTGAGGCTATTCCATGACACTGATGTACTTACCTACATGCAGGCAATACACACATACACATAAAATAAAAATAATAAATAGGGAGGCAGAGGCAGATGGATCTTTGTGAGTTTGAGGATAGCCTGGTCTACATAGTGAGTTCCAAGACAGCTGGGGCTACAGGGAGACCCTGTCTCAAAAAACATACGTGCAGGCAATACACTCATACACATAAAATAAAAATAATAAATAAAAAATATATTTAAAAAAAAACACACACTTGACCAAAAGCAGCTTGGGAGAGGAAAGGGTTTATTTGGTTTACGGCTCAATGAGGGGAGCCAAGGCAAGAACCTGGAGATAGCAAACGAAACAGAGACCATGGGGACCATGGCTTGCTTCCTCTAGCTTGCTCAGCTGTCTGTCTCTTATAGCTCAGGCCCACCTGCCTAGGGATGGATGGCACTGTCCACAGTGGACTGTGCCCTCCTATATCAATTAGCAAACCAGAAAATGCCTCATAGATGCAGCCACTAGCCAGTCTGATGGAGGAAGTTCCTCAGTTGCAGTTCTCTCTTCCCAAGTGGCTCTAGTTTTCATTCGTACTAGAATAAGAAGTCACAGGTAGATATTTTTAAGCATTTAGTCATAGGTCTGATTTGGACTTTGCTTACTCAGAGTAGGTTCTATATCCGATGCCACATTATAATTTTTATTGAGCATTTGATTACATATATTTTAACCTCTTAGATAACAGGAATTAGAAATGTTGGCTTACTTTCAGGTGATGGGAGTTAAATAATTTTTTAAATAAAAACTTATTGGCACATAGAGTTCAGGATTTCTGACTAGTGTATTGTTGAGTTACTTGTACTAAGATAGCAGTCTGGATTGCTTATAGGAAACATGAGATTATATAGTCTTCTCAGTTTTGATATACTAGTTTTATAGTAAGAAATTATTTATTTAGACCTATGTCAAGCCTCACAGATCTTACAGCCTGAAATTCAAACCTCTTCATGCATTTAAAGATAGCCACCTAATAATGCAAAACCTAGTTTTTTTCTTAAAAATGAGAATCCAGGACCAAAAAGCTTAAAAAAAAAAAAAAATCCTGTACGCATAGAAGAAGCTGTAGTCAGTGTCCCAGAGTCAAGTTAAATGGGGGTCTTCGAAGATGGCAAGCAAATGAGATTTGATAGTAGCAGGGGTGAACAGAAGGAATGCAGGTAGGTAGGAAAACAAGTAGACAAATCAGGAAGAGACAAGGAAGGAGAGGAGGGGAAACTGAGTCAGGGAGCTTACCCCAGCTACTCCTAGAGACGTCCCTGAATCCTGCAACCTTATGGATTCACTTTTGTCTGCCCTGTAACTGTCTCAAAGTTTCTTAGTTTAGGTTTTAGTTCCTAATATTTAGATTGATGAGCTAACCTTTAAGATGCCTATTGCATTTTTTAATTAAATCAGTTTCTACCTTTTCACTTATGTCTTGGGTTTGGGTGTAGGTAGAATCTTATACTCTTTATAAGATCTGAAAAGATGACTTTTTCTGTTTCTCTGATTTTTTTTTTCAGTATCAAGGAAGGAATTCTGTGGGTGGGGGGGTCCCCTGATTTCATGTAAAGTGATATTAGAAAAATAAGGTATAATGATAAATCATCCTCATTTGAGTATATGCTGTATTCATTTAAAAGCATTCTTTCTGTAATTGAATGAAAATTATTTGGTAATACAAGTGTTCATTTGTATCACTCTGCATGTAGAGAGCTCAAGTACATTAACATGAAAAATCAAAGGAATTGCAGAAGTGCTTTTATTTTGTTAGTTTTCAGCTTTTATCCATTCATACTGAGGAACAATTATAGCCCTTTTTATATTTAGCCATAATTGCATCCTTTTTGTGACTTAAGAGAATATGCTAACAAGTTATTACATATACAAGCAGACTCTGTCTATAATGAGGTTTGCTGAACACTGCTGTTTTCCTTAGAAGGTTTTGAAGAGAAGCACAGTGTGCAGAACTGAAGAAATCACAGAAAAGTAATTTAATTCTCTCTGAATTTAAAATTCATTTCTGCAATTGAGCAGAATAGGGATGGGAGCTTTGTCAACTTCTATGACCAAGGAGCAAAAATTGTCAATTTAGCATTTTAAGAATACAAAGCAAATTTTCAGTTTCTTTATGTTTATACCTCCTCCTAAGTCAAAGAGTCAAGGTAACCCAAACCTTATTTAAATGTACATATCTAGTCACTGGCACAGTCTAGTCAGTGTATGTCATTGCCTATAGGTCCTGTTCCAGTTCTACTGAAGAAGATTCTTCCAAACAAAAGAAACAGAAATATCAGAAGAAAGAAAAGAAAAAAGAAAAGAAGAGCAAGTCAAAAAAAGGGAAACATCACAAAAAGGAAAAAAAGAAGAGAAAAAAGGAAAAGCATTCTTCCCCTAATTGTTCAGAATTCGCCAAAAAGTAACTGTCTTTGGCCTAACTTGAGAAATTGAAGAATCAGTTTTTTTCATTATTTGACCTTCTTTGGAATTGTTATATAATTACGCTTCTCAGCAAAGCTCACCTTCTTCCTTTTAGACATTTTTCATTATTGGAACCATTATCCATCTAGCCACTGGCATTAAATCAATCTTGTTACTTGACAACCATGCCTCATGTATAAATAGTTGTGCATGTAAAACACATCATTTGGTATTTGTGTTTCTGTGTGTTTGGCTACTGTCACTTCATAAGTTGATTGTAACATAGCTTTATTAGTCAACACGAGTAATCTACATAGCAGCTATTAAATATTGCTGAGTCAAGGTCCACCTTCCAGTGATAAATGTCAGTAGTAATGATTTGCTCTTGATATTGAAAAGTTTAATAGCTTTATATACCGTGTAATGTATAAAGATGGTGAAATTCTTCACTGTTGTTTTTAAATCTCTAGGCTTTTTTAAGATATTGAAGATAAAACTGCTTTACTGATCTCAAGTGATACTTTTTAATGAATGATATCTATGGGAAGATCACAATGAAAATATTTATAACAAAGTTTTGTTTTGTGAAAAGCGGCGTTTCTGACACCTGCCTCCCTTGTTTTTTAACATTTAAAATATTTCTTCTTTTTAAAAGAGACTGGCTTAGTTTATTAGAAAGTCTGTCAAGGATTATTCTATGTCAGTCAGGATTTTTAGGGTAGACTCCTGGTTGATTTACAAATGTGCCCTATTGGCAAGTCTTACAGTGATACCTCAAACAGGAATTTTACTTAGGAAAACATCAAAGTCTTCATTGGAACTGATTTTTATTATTTTTAGAATATAAATTTTATGATGTGTGTGTCAATGGGTATTGTGGAAATTTTTTATAAATGTTAGCATATATATTTATTTTGTCTGAAATGATTTATGGCTTTGAAGCAAGTTTCATACTAAACTCCAAGGCATCATAAATAGCCAGTTTTTGATGCCTCCTCTTTTACTTCAGTCACAGATCTCAGTAGCAGTGTCAAAATTTAGAAATAAGAATTTCATTCTGTATAATTTAAAAGCCAGGGGGTTGTATCATGAAGGCCTTTGTATGATAATGGGAATTTTATATAAATAAGCATTTTCAAACATGTGTTAGTGGGTGTAAATATTTCTTACATTTTTAATTTTATGGTGATCAGTGTTACCTAATTTGCTTAACATTTACTATCCCCTACACCCAATAAGTTAAATACTTATATTATAAAAGCATTGAAAAATCTACCAATTAGTATGGTTTAGCACCAAAGATTCTAAATCCTTCACTATGGTACTTAACAAATTTTCAGATTGGTAACCTACAGACATGGCTGGCAGATAAATGTATGATCATGATCACGTCAGTGAACTTGATTGGAAAGGCTTACTGATTGTTCCTGCCCAGCACCATGCTGGGCATGCCCCACTCAGGAGCCTCAAGTCTCCTTCACGTAACCTTTCCTGTGATCGGATTCCATGGAGGCCACAGCCATACCCTGGCCTGGTGCTGCAGCCAAGGAAGCTCTCACACCTTCAGCCTCCCATAACCTAGTTACTCTCTCCGCCGATAAAAGAGAAATTCTTTTGTTTAAAGAGTTCTCTCCATTGTTAGGACAAAAGCACTGAACTAAGAATTTTAACGGTTTGTTTTGCCTTTGCTAATTTTATGAAAATACAGTTCTTTGGTTATCCAGATTAACACAAATCAGTAAAAAAGAAAAATCATTTTCAAAACTATTTTTTATAAATAGCAGCAGGGTGTCACACACACCTTTAGTCCAAGCACTCAGGAAGCAGTGGCAGGCCAATCTCTGAGCGCAAGGCCAGCCTGCTCTGCATAGCGAGTTCCAGGCTACCTGGGGCTACAGGAAGACCCAGTCTCAAACAAACAAACAAACAAATTGGCAAAGGGCCAGTGGTGACTATCGAGCATTTGCTGCTCTTACAGAGAACTTAAGTTTGGTTCTCAATACTGACATCAGACAACTCATAACTGCCTGTAACTTCAGCCTCAGGGGATCTGATGCCCATGTCTGACCTCTTGGGTATCCATATGCATGTGGCAGACACACAGAAATACACATATACACAAAACCCAAAAATAAAAATCTAAGACAACAACAAAAATAGTTAGCAAATGCTAACCCCAAAATTGGCCTCATCCTGTTGTGTGTGTTATAAGGTTAACAGTGACAATAATTGCAGTGCAAAGTTCATCACGTTTGTAAGTTTAATTTCTGTTAATTGTAAAAAAGTTAGAAATTGATGCACTGGGTTTTTTCTTGAGTTGTGACACAGCCAGTTATTCAGAAGAGTTATATATAATCAGCTCTCATTCACTAATATTCTATAGAAAATAAAAGATTTTAATGGGCCAGTCATTTCCCCCCAGAAATCTTAGTGTTATTAATGTTTCCCCATAATATTAACATACTTTATGAAATAGCTCATCTGAATAAAAGCCATTTATTTTCATGAAAATAAGAAGAAATACATTTTAGGAGAAAAGGCACAAAATTTTCTCTTAGGCAGTATGTAGCAGATGAAAATTCCTTTAATAGTAGCAGCCACAGGTGCTGCCATCCTAACGTCCTGTGTAGCCTGCCGGCCATACCACCCTGAATGCCCCGTCTCCTCTGGTTCCCTGTGTAGCCTGTGCCGTACCACCCTGAATGCCCCATCTCCTCTGGTTCCCTGTGTAGCCTGCCGGCCATACCACCCTGAACACCCCGTGTCTTCCAGTTCCCCGTGTAACCCCTAGCAAAGCTGTTAGCGTCTCTGGGCCCTGGTGTCTCCTGCCTATTGTACTATGTTTCCTCTGTGATCCTTTCTAGTCCTTAATGTATATAATTATCAATAGTAAAGTAAAATTAAAGTAATATTCCTTTTTAGAAATTATTTTAGATAAGCAGCCAGCATTCTATAAGAGTAAAGGTTGACTTTATCAATACAACTGCCAGAATTATCAACTTAAGTAAAGGGAATTTGGTTCATTTTATTGTCACCCAATGTATGTCATTTTCACCAAATGCAGACAGAATTTACATTAAGATTTCTGCCTGTAACCAGATTATCTGAACACTTTGTAGCTACTAGTTTAGGCTGACGAGCCTGCTCCCCACAGTTATCCCATTTCATATCCCCTATCATCTCTCAGCTAAGATCTCTCTCAGAGGGATTGTTAGTCACTCATATTCAGTACATCTCCACTTACATGTGTAGTTCTCAGAGACCAGGGCATTAACAAGTGACCTTTGTGCCTGCATTTATGGCCCTGTCTAAAGTTGTACAATTCTAGGTCACCTTCCTCAGTAAACTACGGGGAAGCATTGTTAATAATGTTAAAAATGATTGTATGCAGCTGTGCATTAGACACACTTGCTTCCCTGCACAGTCCAGTTGGTAGGAGAATCACTAGAACAGCATATAAAATAAATGTAGTAGAGGATAAGTTTAAAGAAATACACATGGTCACCCAACCTAATTTAGAGAAATTAGAAGGAGCTTCCTAGAGAAATACCTGAATTGATTTGTATTAAAGCTGGTGATAATTCTCATGGTTCTTGTCAAGCGAGTGCTGTGAACAAAGCCCATGTAGAGAACTGTGTACCTGAAAGAATGCTGAGACCTGGTGCTGCTAGTGCATCATCAGGCCAGGCAGCATAGTAGGGATTGAGGCTGTCATTTTAGGTTCCTGGGGTCCAGACAAGCAAGTTTGGGGGTTCCATGTTTGAGAGCTTGAATTTTAGTCTGTAAGCAATGAAATACCTTTACAGAGTTTTAAGGAAGGAAATAGCTATTTTGGGGATTTGGCCTCATCTGTTTCATAATCTTGTTCTACAGTTTTTAAAAGATGAAATTGCTGTCATTAGAAGTCACAGAAAATAATTTTATGCTCTGCTGTTTGTAATTTACACAGTGGTTTATATTACAGAAACCCCCCAAAAGCTCTACTGTATTTTTCATTGGATACTTTTTTTTTTTTTTTTTTTTTTTTTTTTTTTTAACAAAAAAAAAAAAAAAAGCTGGCCTGGAACTCACTATGTAGATCAGGCTGGCCTTGAACTCAGAGATCCACCTGCCTCTGCCTCCCGGGTGCTGGGACTAAAAGCGTGCCCGGCTTCATCTGATACATTTTTAGAATTATAATACATATACACTTTTTGAAGTGTATTTTGTTGTTAATTATGCTTTTTCTTTGACAAGCTTGAAACTCTCACTATGTTAGTATTTGTGAAGCCCAAATAAATCACTTAAAATACATTTTTCAGTGTATAGACTCTGCCACAATTTAATAATGTTTTTGCTTTTAATATTTTGTATCAATTTATGAAGCAGCACTGCTTCAAAGTTTCAGAGAGCGACACCAGCTGGTAACTCAGACAACCTAGAGCTCAGCTATCTCAGCAGGCAGCGAGTCAAGGGTGCCTGCTAATCCTGGTGCTGGGGTTCAAACTTACTGAGCAGTTAGTGCCTAAAACCAAGGTAACAGTAACCGTAGTTACGAAGGCCAGGGTCTTCTGTCCTAACTTACGTCCCTCAGCTCCTCTGCAAATGCACAGTACAACAGAGATCCAGGGTCCCTCTCTTAGGGCTCAGTTTATGGTATACCCAGCCATGGGCAGCCCCACTTTGCCTTTCCCACAGATGGGGAAGAGTCTGCTGGCCCCAAGTCTGACTTTCCCCCTTCTAATGTCTTTTATGCCCCCTTCCCTTGCCCTTTAGCAACAAAAGCAGAGCTGTACCAGTGCCGTAAGTAAACTTTCTCACCCTGGATTTCTTACTGAGATGTAGTAATGTAACTATTCCTATATGTCAGTACAGCAAATTTTCTGTTTTTTTTTTTTAATCAAAGCTATGTGAAAGATCAAAGGTATCCATGAAAAGTCTGAGCCTTCACAAAATAAATGAAATTTCTTTGCTTTTATGACTTAAAAATTGTCATTTGTATAATGAAAATGTATTTGCTTTCAGACTTCATGTACACTCTAAGCATTTTAATACTTAAACCTTGACAAAACTATCTTTTTGAACAGGAAATCCACTTAAGTAGTAGGGTATTTCTTATAATAATGACCTGGGACTCTGCTGTCAATATAGCCACATGTGATCACGTAAATTAGTTAAATTCAGGAAATAAACATGTATCTCTTCACTTACATTGGCCATGTTTCAAGCACCTGGTAGGCATGTAGGATTGGTAGCAATGGTACAATTCAATGCAGATACAGGAAAATCATTTTTATAACCTGAAAGACAAAGTCTAGACAAAGACACCCAGGAATCTTGGTAGATATGATGAAGTTTCTACCCCTGAGCTTTGTATGCCTAAGAAGAATAAGGCATTCCTTTTTGATAAAGACCAGAGATGCCATACCCAGCACATTCGGGAAGACTAGTCTTCAAGCTACAAAAACTTTACCCAAAGCAGTAGATGTATGTAGTGGAACAGGCCAAAAATTATTCCTTTTTTTTCTATTGAATCCCATTATAAAACTAGGACTGTGTACTTAATAGGTACTATGTTTATGGATAGAAATCTTTCTAGACATTTACAGTTTGCAGAAACTAGTTTTTATTTTCTAGATACCTATAAATGATGTTGATGTGTTAGTATAGATGAAACTACTACATTAATATTTGTTAAGTCTAATAACAAATTTAAATCATTTAAAAAATATTTTTCAATGTACAAACTGGGGCATAATTTTAAAAGACTTTTTTTGATATTTTCATCAACTTATGAACACCACTGCTTTAAAGTTAGACACACCAGTTGGTACACTGGGGGAGCCCTGCGACTTCTCCTGAAGTAACCCAGAGGTGAGCTACTCAGCAGACAGTATGTCAAAGATGCCAGCTGGGCCTAGTCCTGGGGTTCAATCATACTCCTTTTATGACTTTCACTATAGAGATTCTTCAGGAAATTTACCAGCAAAGCATTTTATTATAGATACCCCTTGAAGTGCAGAAAATACTTATCCAGATTAAGCAGTGTGATTTTTTTTGTTATTGAATATTAACTTTTATAAAGGTAATATTTTATTGCATCACCAGAAAATCCTTCAAAAACACTGATTGCTAAAGAGACTTCAGAGCATTTAGTTTATAAGACAATACCCCCAAGATTCACTCACCCAGTGCTATCCCATATAAAAGTAATTGCCTGTATTAAATAATAATAAAATATGGTAATATAACAAATTCTCTGTTCCTCACAGAGACAGATTGTCTGTTACTGGTAAATTCTTTAATTTCTTTTGAAGAATTAGCAGTTCATGTCATACAGAAACTTAATAAATAAAAGTAAATTTATGCACATGATAATCTATCAGAATTTATGATTATATATGAATAATTAAAAATACAGCTGGTCTTGCTTTGAGAGTGACTGATACTGGAGAAGCGATGTTAGGGACTGGTTTGAAATGCATTATTTATTCTTATTGCTCCATCTCCCCAGTAAGCTTTCGAAACAGGATTTTCAGCTAATAAGCAATATTGATTTGTGTTGTAGCCATTGCTTTTTCTTGAATTATGTCATCAGCTTCATAAAATGTTTCATTTGTTGAATTTGATGCTGCATTTGAGATGAGGCCTTTGCTTTTTCTATTAAGGTTGCCTGAAAATACACAAGACAAAATGAAACAATTATTCAAAGTTATGACATAAAATTTTTCTCTTTAAAGTTTCAATTGCCACAACACTATTGGAAATAGGATGTCCTGAAAATACTACATAGGTGAGTGAGAACCAAGTCCATTTGGAGTTGTTTGGAGCCATTCCATCTTAAAAGGGAAGGAATAGAAATTTCATTTGCATGTTTTTCTTTCTCCATGCTTGTGCAAGAAAACTACATATCTCATAAGGAGGTAACAATTTCTTGGTCACTTAATAAAAATGTGACTGTCCCTGTCCTATAGATAAAATAAATAAGCTACATTAAAGCCAATCTTGATAATTTTCAAGAACTTGAAGGCTTTGAAAAGAACACATTTGGGGGCTGGAGAGATGGCTCAGCGGTTAAAAACACTGGCTGTTCTTGCAGACGATCCGGGTTCGAATCCCAGAACCCACATGGCAGCTAACAACTGTCCATAACTCCAGTTCCAGGGAATCCAACAGCCTCTTCTGTCCTCCATGGGCACTGCACAACACGGGTGCACTGACCTACATGCAGGCAATACACACATACACATAAAATAAAAATAATAAATAAAATGAAAAAAAGAGAAAAGAACCCATTTGTTCCACAATCCTATTCACATGCTGCATATAAATTCATAACAAGCAAGGCTAAAGAACGTGGAGCTTCGCTCATCAGCATCAGCAGTAGGCTAACAAATTCATAGCAAAGAAATGAATTGTTATAGTGTGAGTTGTTATTGTATTTATACCTTATACAGCTTTTTGGGGAGGAGGGGGTGTAGATTCTTGAAAACTTAGAAAATAATGTTAGTTGGATTCAAGTCCTGCATATTTCCTAAGCAGTTCGTACATACTTAAATTCATAATATTTTAATCAGATTTTTAGGTTTTTTTTTTTCTACTTTATCCCAGTTTTCATTTCTTCAGGTTTTTTGTTGTTTGGGTTTTTTGTTTGTTTATTTGTTTTGTTTTGAATAGCAAAAGAGAAAAGAGAATCTCAGGATGTTATTTTCTAACCTAGTTACTTGGAAGTTTTAAGTTTTCTCCATTCTGACAACTTCAGTTTCCATTCTGTATTTCAGTAACCTCTGAGTCATGTAAGCTACCAAATATATTCCAGTGGTAAAGATTTTCCTTCCACTAGGACTTGTAAAAACCCCTTATTTCCCAGCCCTGACTCATTATTTATTTGGCTACCGGATCCTTCTAAATGTGTTAACTGCAAAGATAATTTCCTAGGTTGGCTTCTAAAGCCAGAGCAATTCCCCCCAACAAACCAATTTCCTATGTGAATAAGAAAAGATTTGCTGTAAACACATGAACACTCTAGTAAAACCCAAAAGCACTTTCAATGGATTTCCCTCCAGTAGCTTAAATTGAAGATAGAGAAAAACAGTAAGTGGGGCTCCAGTGAGAACAGAATCCACTTAGCATCTCTTAGAGATCAGTTTAAAAGAGAAGGGACCACCAAAGCAACCTGTTTTTCCGAGTTTTCCTTTAATCAAATTGAAACTAATTTCTTAATCAGCCAAGGGATAAAAGCAGCTGCCTTTTCAATCACAACATTACAACATGGATTTGATTTAAAATAAGAAACCTGTAATACCATTTAACTCCCAAGGATTTGTTACACATAAAGAGTTTTTCTTACTTAATTCCTCCTGTTTCTTTAATTAAGTGCAAATTGCCATGACACTGCATCCCAGTTATTGCCTAGTTTGACATCAGTTCCTTGTGCCTTGCTTTGCATTTCCATCCTTATTTCTTTTCAGTCTGGTCATTATATATGTAAATTTCAACCTTCCTTTAATCCTGTGCATCATGGACTGGCATTTAAAATAAAGTTTCGGCCTTTACCAAAATTTAAATTCAGTTCATCAAACAAAATCTTTTTACCTGTTCTCATCACAGTTTTGCCAACATTCTTTTTCTGATAAGATTAGCTTGTATTTATTTTCAGAGTTATTCCTCAGAGTTATTCATCAGGTAATTCTGTGAGCTTGGCTCTTGACCGCCATTTCAAAATAGCAAAGGAATATTGGTGACAGGTCTTTATCTCCTGGTCTCCTGGCAGAACTGACCAAGCCTTCTGTCATTATCTGGCATAGCCTAGCTTTTGTGCTGCTGTCCTGAAGTCCTAAGCAGCTTTCAACTGCTGGTCTAGCTGGATAACTTTAGGAAACAATCTCAAATCAACACCCAAATGTGATTTTATTGTTGTTGTTTTGTGAAGGGTTCCCCTTTGATTTGATGATTGAGATGGTCTCAGTATAGCCCAGAATGGCCTGGAACTCAGGACCCTCTGACCTCAGCCTCCTAATTACTGGGATTACGGGTGTGCACCACCATGTCAGGCCAATATTTGTGACTATTATGAAATGAAATGCTGGCTTCTATTTAGCTTACTGTTTCCAACATTAGCTCGAATTACCTGACTTTGTACCCTGAAGAGAGCATTTAGCACTCACAAACACTAAATGTGGTAGAAACTCTGTGAAGGGATTTGATTTTCTACATTCTAAGAACTATTTTACTGTGTGTGTGTGTGTGTGTGTGTGTGTGTGTGTGTGTGTGTGTGCATGTGCCATGGCACAGGCATACATATGGAGAAGAAGACAACTTATGGGAGTAAGTTCTCTCCTTTCACCATCATGTGAGTTCTGAGATCTAACTCAAGTCCTCTGGCTTGGCAGCAAGTACCTTTACTTGCAATCCTAACTTGATCTCCATTGCTATAATAAACACCCTTATCAAAAAGCAACTTGGGTAGGAAAGGGTTTACTTGGCTTAGACTTCAGGTGACAATCCATCATTGGGAAAATTCAGAGAAGGAACTCAAGGCAGGAACAATGAAGTCTGCTTACTGGTTCATTCTGGCTCATGCTCAGCTAACTTTCTTATATAGCTCAGGCCCATCTGCCAAAGGATGTTGCTGCCCACAGTGGGCTAGGCACTCCTAAATCAACCTCTCACAGATATGACTGCAAGCCAATCTGATCAAGGAAATTCTTCCATTGAGGTTCCCTCTTCCCAGATGACTATGTTGTGTCAAGTTAAAAATAAAATCTAACCATTACTCTATCCTTGTCAACTGGACACACAAACACATCACTGTTAAACTCTAACCTTTACTTTCTTGTTTGTCCCTAGATCTCATGTTAGTATCATAATACAGTACAACTTTAAAAAGTTCCATAGTCTTTAAAAATCCCAATGCTTTACAATTTCAATGTTTCTTAAAAAATTCAAAGTCTCAGAACTGTGAACTCCTGTAAAATCAAAAACAAGTTATGTACTTACTGATTCCAAAAGGGAAGAACCAGGAAATAGGAACAATCACACTTAACCAAAAAGAAGATCCAGCAGTATAAATCCATGTTCAGTGTCTAACATCTGGGGTTTATCTATGATCTGGGCTCAAAAAGGCTTAGGCAGCCCCACCTCTCCAGTTCTTACATGCACAAAACACACAGTTTGTCTTGTTGGCTCATGCCAGCTCCACTCCAGCTGTCCTTGTGGTCATCCTATGGTTTTGTCATCTCCAGTATCCTAGAACCCCCACTGCAACTGAGCCTTCATCTTCACCAATGGCCTCCCTTGGCCTCCTTCTCTTCAAGGATTCCAACCAAGCTACACAGCCATTCAATCTTGACCCCTTCAATCTCAAATCTTTCATGACTTCAAAATAATACCATGTATATAACTAACACACTGCCAAGTTCAGCTGCCAGCTGGAGATGCAGCCTCAGCCCCCTGGACCACAGCTTCAGTGTGTTGACCCTGAGGAAATATTTCCCAAAAGATTCCACCTCAATAATGCTGATCCCTTCTTACAGCTAATTCTTCAGCCCCAACTGACCAGTAGCCTCAGATTCTTAATGCAAATTATCATAGGAATGGCTCCACTTTGCTGCCCTCCAAAATTTCACTAGCCAGGCCTCCCAATATTCTTATCATCTAGGCTCCTAAAGATCAGCCCATTAAGCTCTGAGCACACTCAATAGCTTTTCCAACTCAACATTCCAAATGCTTCCATAATCCTCCCAAAAAAACAACATGGTCAGGGTTATCACAGCAACACCCCACTGCTGGTACTAATTTCTGTCATGGTTTGATCTCTGTGGCTCTGATAAATACCCTGACCAAAAGCAACTTGGGGAGGAAAGAGTTCGTTTGGCTTACACTTCCAGGTTACAATCCATAATTGAGGGAAGGCAAGGCAGGAGCCATGTAAAGACTGCCTACTGGCTTATTCTTGGCTCATGCTTAGCTGGCTTTCTTATATAGTCCAGGCCAAACTTCCTGGGATGGTTGTCACCCACAGTGGGTTGGGTCCTCCTCCATCAGTCCTCAGTCAAGAATCTTTCACAGGACTGGAGAGATGGCTCAGTGATTAAGAGCACTGGATACTCTTCCAGCGGACCAAGGTTCAGTTCCCTGTACCTACATGGTGGCTAACAACTGTCATCCATAATTCCAGTTCCAGGAGATCTGATACCCTCTTGTGACCTCTGTGAGTATTTCATGACAGGAGGGACTTACATACATGCAGGCAAAATACTCATATACATTAAATAAATAAGTAAATAAATAAATGGAATGGGGGCGCTTTTTGAGACAGAGTCTCACTATAGCCCCAGCTGGCATGGAACTCACTATGTAGAACAGGCTGGCCTCGATCTCACAGAGATCTGCTTCCCTAGTGCTGGGATTGGATTAAAGGCATGCACCACTATACCCAGCTATAAATAAATAATAAGAATTTTTAAAAAAGAGCCACAGACATGTAAGCCAACCTGACTGAGGAAATTCGTCAATTGAGGTTTCCTCTTCTGGGTGACTCTGGGACCTCCTGAGCCATCTCACTGGCCCATGAGTGGCTTTTTATGACATTGAGTCCAAATTACCCCATTTTCAATTAATACCTCAATGAATTATTTAAAAGCTTTTGTGAAACAAAGTATTACTAAATAA